AAAAAAAAAAAAAAAAAAAAAAAAAAAAAAAAAAAAAAAAACCTAGGGCTTCATGCTTGCTAGGCAAGTACTCTGCCATAGCCTATAGCCCTGGACCACATTTTTAGAACCACTGTATCTGTTGTTTTTTACTTGGAGAACTTTTTATAAATGAGTGAATTGTCAGGAAAGAATTCCTCCACGCTACTGGGTTCTTGTCAGGTGTTAATGGTCTTCCAGCTGAGCCACCCTCCTACAAGAGAGCCTCAATCTGGTCATGGACATTGCTGTTGTAGAAAATTATCTTAAGGTGTGTTACTTTTGTTTATGCTCTGGAACATTTGTTTAATGATGCAAAGATGTGTTTGATTAAATAAAATTCACCTGCGGTCAGGAGGCTGCGTCAGCAACTAGCTGACAGGAAGTGGTAGGGAGGAGCCAGGTGGAGAAGGGTTTTTGAGGAGGGGCCAGGAGAAGCACGGGAGCTTCTTGGAGGATGTGAGCAAGGAGAGGAGGTGAGCTACTTGCTAGTCAGCCTCTCTGAAGAGCAGAATTTCAACATAACCTTTGAATCTTGAGTTCTTTAGAGGAACAGAGGTTTAGTTAAGTTCCCTTCGTAGCTCTGAGAGAGTCGGTACCTGAGGGAGCAGAATCCCCTCAGGCTGCGGCTCTTGAGGCCTAACCCTGCTGGTAGCAGCGGTGGAGTTGTAGTTGCTGATTCGGACAGCAGTGGCTTAAAAGGCAGCAACAATTTTAAAAAAAAAAAAAAAGGACAATTGGTGCCCCACATTGGGTGCCAAAATGTTTTTTCTCTTTTGCTCTTTGGGGGACCCACCACCCAGCTCCCAAATAAATCACACATGGAGGCCTATTTTTTTTTTTTTTTTTTTTTTTTTTGGTTATTTGAGACAGGGTTTCTTTGTGTAGCCTTGCTCCTTTCCTGGATCTCGCTCTGTAGACCAGGCTGGCCTTGAACTCACAAAGATCTGCCTGCCTCTGCCTCCCGAGTGCTGGGATTAAAGGCGTGCGCCACCACTGCCTGACTGGAGACTTATTCTTAATATAAAAGTCTGGCCTTAGCTTGGCTTAGTTTGTTACCAGCTTTCCTTAACTTATCCCATCTACCTTTTGCCTCTGGGCTTTTCCTGTTCTCTTACTTCTGTACATCTTACTCTTACTCCGTGGTTTGCTATGTAGCTCGGTAGCTGGCCCCTAGAGTCCTTCTCTGGCTACTTTTTTTTTCTCCCAGATTTCTCCTATTTATCCTCTCTGCCTGCCAGCCCCACCTATTTCCCCTGCCTTGCTATTGGCCGTTTAGTTCTTTATTAAACCATCAGGTGTTTTAGACAGGCACAGTAACACAGCTTCACAGAGTTAAACAAATGCAACATAAGCAAAATTAACACACCTTAAAATAATATTCTACAACACATTGCCTCAGTGGGTAGTGTGCCCCTGCTCAGATCTATGACAGAATCTGGAGTGGAAGTCTACATGTCCTGAGTTTAATTCTATATAGCCATGGCAGGTGTATGTATCCTGCTTGATCCTGGGAAGAAGAGGTGGAGGAAGATGGGAATTACTGAGTCTCCTTAATGTGTCAAATAAAATGCCAGAAGTTTTCTATGATCATGACCAGCACTGACAATACTGAGTTCTTCCTGATGTTAAATACTTGGAGTATTCTGTCACAACACTCCTATGATGTACGTATGATTAATGTCCCCATTTTTTTTTGTACATAGACTGAAGCTTTGAGACTCGATGAATATTGCCAGAGAAAGGAATTTAAACCCAGGCAGTCAGTTTCAAAGCCTACATTTCTTTCTTTTTTTTTTGGGGGGGGGGAGGGGCCTGGAAGGATCTCAAACATTTCAGGCTGGCCTTGAACCTGCTATGTAGCTAAGAATGCCCTTGACCTTCTGATCATCCTGCCTTTACCTCCCCGGTGCTGGGATTATAAGCACATATCCCCATGCCTGTATGCTGGAGCTCACACTCAGGGCTTTGTGCATACTGGGTGAGCACTCTACCAACTGAGCTACATCCCCAGTCCTAAAGTCCACATTCCCCTACACACTGGTTTGGTTTTTTTTTTTTTTTTCTGACAAGGTTTCACTATGTAATCCTAGCCGACCTCAGACTCACCCTGTAGACAACCAGGCTGGCCTTGAACTCACAGAGACCTGCCTGCCTCTGCCTTCTGAATGCTGAGATCAAGTTCCACATTTTTGACTCCTGGACTCCTGCTTCCGCATGCAGACTACAGAGAAGGAAGAGGGGTTTGGAGAGGTCAGACAAGTCTCCCAGTTCTTCAACGGAGCATCTGGGATTTGAGTCCAGAGCTTCCAGAGGCAAAGCTCTTGTCTCTTCCATTATCCCTGCTTCCTTGGCCACAGAAAGTTTTTAGATAATGAGGGCAAGAGGATGTAGAATCATGTCACTGGTGTCCTGTATCTGGGGTGGTTTACAGACAGGTCGTTAAGGGGGTGGTTACTCATAGGGTATCTAGGGACATTGGGACATCTTACTGCCCAAAGCTTTGTGGCAACCTCTAGAGCAGGCCAGCCTGTTAATGTCCTGAGGCAGAGGGCTCTAGCTCTTGGATTTTAAGGAAGGAAAGGTCATTGTGGCTGGAGGTCAGAAGGCAGCATAGCCTGGGAGGTGTGTTTGAGATCAGGCTAGACACTGGGCATGGCGATTTCATGCTCACTAAAGCTTTGAGGACTTTATCCCTAATGCCCTGAAAGCTAGTGATCCTGTGGAGGGGTGAGGTCTGATTCATCTATTTTGAAGCTCAGTTGGCCGAGAAGAAAATGGGGGCAGTGAGCTTCTGCTGGAGTCTGCTGCAACAGTCAGGTGAGGGGCCGGAGTGGTTGGCTCTGCAGCAGATAGAGTGAGAAAGGGGCTCATGTCCGGAGGTATTTAGGGAGCAGAATCAAGAGGCCCCAGGAGAAAGGAAGGAGTCAAGAAAGATGCTCAGCCTCTGGTGAGTGGAAGTGTTGGGGTACACAAGGTTGTTTAGCAGAAGCCCAGCCCGAGGCTAGGCTAAAATCAGACTCCTGGGGAAGGGAAACCAAATGTTCTGTAGATAAGAACAGGCTTTCAGGCCGGGCGGTGGTGGCGCACGCCTTTAATCCCAGCACTCGGGAGGCAGAGACAGGCGGATCTCTGTGAGTTCGAGGCCAGCCTGGGCTACCAAGTGAGCTCCAGGAAAGGCGCAAAGCTACACAGAGAAACCCTGTCTCGAAAAACCAAAAAAAAAAAAAAAAAAGAACAGGCTTTCAAAGACAGGCTTGGTGGCTCTTGCCTATAATCCCAGTGCTTGGGAGGCAGTGTTGGGAGGGTTCCCAACAGTTTGAGGCTAGCCTGGGCTACAGATTGGGACCCTGCTTCATAAAGAGTCAAAACCAAAGACCATACAAGCAAAGGAACAACAAATAAGGGCCAGCAAGATGGCTCAGTGGGTAGAAGTGATGGTCACCAAGCCTGGAGCTGAGTTTGAGTCCCAGAACTTACATGGTGGAGGAGAGAAACAATTCCAGCAGTTGTTTGCTGATTTCCACACCCATTCACGCTGCAGCACAAAGGCACCTACCCCTCCACATAACAACAACAACAACAACATAGATTTCAGGCTTAGGGGTTAGAAAAACTGAGTGAAAACCCTCTTCCCAGGATAGAAAGGTACTTGGTTCAGAGCTGGGTGGGGACCTGGGGGCTCATCCAGGTACCCTGAATAGGTAGGGAAGACCCACAATTTCACCCTGTCCTATTAATAATTGTTATTATCTTGGTTCTTTAATATGTCCACATGTAAACTTGGACTTTACTTTTCCCATTATTACTATGTAATCACCGTCAATGCACAGTCATAGTTTTTGAGACTATTTAGACTGATCACAGATTCAGTGAGATCTGCCTGCTTCCGCTTCCACAGTGCTGAGATTAAAGGTACTCATCTCTACAGCTGGCTCCTCGTTGTAGTTTGGATTATTTAGGAATAGGTGTCCAGAGTCAGGTCACTGAGAATCTAGGCATCTTCTGTAAAATTCTTGCTATATTGCCAAGTTGCTTCCCAAAAGGGTTATTCTAGACTGTAACCTCAGTACCAATGTGGGAGAGAACTGATTTCATGCTACTTTTCCCAGAACT